ATTGAAGGCTGCAGTCTCTGACCCTTCACAGCAAGTGCTTCAGGTCCTCCTCAGTTTCAGCACGCAGGGTTGTGTCATCTGCATGACACAAATAATTGATGAGTCTACCTCCAATCCTGATGCCACACTTCTTCTCATAGAAACCAGCTTCCTGGAAAATCTGTCCTGCATATAGATTGAAAAGATAGGGAGATAGAGCACATCCTTGATGCACACCCTTCCCAATTTTGAACCGTGCAGTGTTTCCTTGCTCTATTCTGACGACAGCCTCCTGGTCTCTAAGTATGTATAAGCTTAGCATAAGCACAATCAAGTGTTCTGGGATTCCCATTCTTCTCAGAGTCAACCATCGTTTGTTGTGATTCACACAGTCAAATGCCTTTGCATAATCAATGAAACACAGACAGACATTCTTCTGGTAGTCTATGTTTTCAGCCACAATCCATCTGACATTATAATATCCCTAGTGCCATGGCCTCTTCTAAATCCAGCCTGCACTTCAGGGAGTTCTCTGTTAATGTGCTGCTTCAGTCGATTTTAGACAATCTTCAGCAGGATATTGCTTGCCTGTGAGAATTTTCACACTATGTCAGATCGCCTTTCTTTGGAATGGGAATAAATATAGATCTCTTCCAGTCAGTAGGCCAGGTGGTTGTCCTCCAGATTTCTTGGCACAACTTGGTGAGCACATTATTTCAAAATATACCCTGAAGTACAATGCAATGCTCTCAGTGATAGGATGGTATTTATTTATACACTTGCAAAGAAGACCAGTTAATATGATTTTGACTCAAATTTATGTAGCAACAACTCATGCAAATGATGAAGAAATAAAGATTGTAGCAGCTTCTGCAGTTTGAAATTGATCAAACATGCTTTAATGATAGACTGATAATTACTGGTGATTTTAATGTGCACGTTGGAAACAAAGAAAAGGATTGGTAGAAGGAAAATATGGCCTTGGTGATAGAAATGACTGAGATCATGTGATAGAATTTTGTAAGACCAAACACTTATTCATTACAAATACCTTTTTTCAACAAAATAAATGGTGACTATTATATATTTCAGGGAGCTCTGGTATCTTAGTGGTAAGGAGTCGTGTTTCCAATGCGAAAGTATATAGTTAAATCTACCAGCTGCTCCATGGGAGAAAGATAGGCATGTGTGGTTACTGCCTCTGAAAACCCACTGGAGGATCACCTATGGGTCGGTTCTGACCTGATAATACACAACAACAATTATATACTGTAGGGAGCTCTGGTGGCATAGTCCATAGCAAGCTGTGCTGTAATCCAGAGTCAACTCATCTTTGGCAGTTTGAATCCACCAGCATCTCCTTAGGAGAAAGGTGGGCAGTCTCCTCCTATTATGATTGACAGCCTTGGAAACCCAATGAAGGGTCGTTGTGAGTTGGAACTGACAGCACTGAGTGAGGGACTTACAACTTGTCAGTCTGCTCAGGCAGTAGGGGTCCAGAAGAGAGCAAGCCAGCTGAGCAAGGTGCTGTGGCATCGAGTCTCTGGCAAGCAGTGGTGGCAGCAGACAGACAGCATAGAAACACATCAAAGATGTTAATGGTCACCGTGGCCCCAGGTGGTCATGGGAAAGGGCAGCTATTTTCTGTTTCTGGCAGAAAAGGGAGCACTAGGGAAGAGTTGCAAAGGTTATTCCCCAGAGCTTCTTTATAATAGTAACGCCACATTTATTGGACACCTGTTACATTCCAGGCTCTGTGCCCAGCTTTATATGCATTTGCCTGAAATTCCCCTCTATGGCAGATGAGGAAACCGAGGATCTAGAAGTTAAGTGATAACGCCCAGGATCCCATAGGTGGTACCTCTAGAGCTGATACTTAGGTTTCTGGATTCCCGAGACCATGCTCTCCACCTACCCAGGAGGGGCCGGAAAACTCTTTGACTTCCTCATGCCCCTGTATTTATCTAACATCTAGTGAGAATGCAGCCTGCTTTGCTGGGCCCTGTCCTAGGTGCTGGGGATATAGCCGGTTACAAGTCAAGGGCCTGCAAGAAGCTCTTTCCAGCAAGGAAGCTGGGCCAACAGACACTCAACTATGAGAATTAGTGCCTGCAATGATGCTTGCATTTTGTTTTCACTTACCACCCCTCTACCCCACCACAGAGCCTAGCACAATGTTCTGTGTGAGAAAGAAGAGAGAGAGAGAGAGAGAGAGTCTCTCACAGCAAATGATAGCTCTGTATCTGTGGTCAGCATGAGAACCAAGCCAGGTTCCTAGTGCAGAGCTCTGCTCCTGTGTGCCATGCCTGCTACAGGTTGTATGCTGTCTCCCTCCCTGAACTCTCTGCCAGCCCAGCAGGAGCCACCCGTACCCACAGCTGTGCTCAGAGCCACCTCTGGCCACCTCCACCCATAGCAGGCCTGCCAGGACTTTCTGGGATGGCACCCCAGGGGCTCCCAGCATGGCGGTGGGGAACAGGGCACCAGCTGTATGGTGCTTATTCACTAGGATCTTGTTGGGTTTCTTGTTTGAGGTTTATGACTTGCCAGCCTTCCAGGACCCAACAACTCATAAATTTAAAGTAGCTATGAAATTTCTGTTTCTCTAGGCCAGTCAGGCAGGGACCTCTTAACAGAGAGTTTTTATTCCCTTCTCTCAGCATCCTCTACGTGTCTGACTGCTCCCTTGTGGGGAGCTCGGGCCTCTGCCTTAACCTTGTGCCCCTTTTTAAATAAGTTGAGGGTGGGATGGGAGGGAACTAACATTTATGGGGTGCCTGGGTGTGCCACACATTACTTCGAGTCTTCCGAGTAAGCCCTGGAGATCATTGACTGCATTCTGTAGGTAAGGTTCAGAGAAGCTCTGGGATGTTCTCAAAGAACCCAGAACCCAGACCTGAAGACTGAATGACAATAGCATAGGGAACGTGGCAGGCAGGGGGCTCATAGTAGGTGCACAATGACTTGAGCATGGCTATCATCTTGAGAATGCCCTAATTCGTTATTTTGAAGTTAGTGTTTCAGAATGGGAAGAAATGCTTCGCTATTCTCTGTCACACAGTACTTGTGAACTCTCAAGCCTCACCCCTGGAGCATCTCTAGTCCCAGGGGCAGACACAGGGTCTCCCACATGCAATGATGGTGCCTGGGTGTCCTGAGCACAGCCACACACTTTGGGGACCTCAGGGTGGAGGGGAAGGTGCATGGACTTTGGAGCACAGAGCAGAACTGAAGTCCCAGGAAGCAACAGCATAGACAGCTGAGTGCTGGCCTATTACCATGTTGTTATTATGTACTGTCGAGTACTGTTGTTGTTATGTACTATCAGAACCAACCCAGAGCTGACCCTGTGGCGAGTTTTCAGAGGCATCCTTCGCTTGTAGTCCAGCTAGTGGATTTGAACCACAAGCATTTGGAATTTCAGTACAGCTTCTTGCCACTTGGCCACCCGTGTTCCCTGGCCTATTACCATATAAATGCCTTTTAGATGACAGAGTACCAGTCTGCTTGGCATTGATAGGCATTACATCACCCTCGGAGATTGACAGATGTGTTAGTGTTGTCTTCTGAGCCTGTGGCTTCAGGTTGTTTCCCATTTAGGCCCATCGTTCTGTTCTTTGGTCAGATATTGGAGACAGGGGTTTGGTCTTATGACAAGGAAAATCTTTCTATCCCTTTGCCTTTTCTTATTTTTATCTTTGAATTTTTTATTTACGTGAAAGTTTGCAAATCATATTCATTTTCCATGAACTCATTCATGGACATATATACCGATTGTCATTGATGAATGCAATTAGTTACATAGTACTGAGTGTTGGGTTCCGGCTTTGTGAAGTCTAGAAATTTTTGGCTGCAGGTCTGGATTCTCCCAAAGCCCCTTCTAAACCACTGAACCATGCAAGCACCCCAAAGGGGCTTGTATTTTCCTTGGCAGCGATGAGGTTAGAATCTGAATGAGAAATCAGGGCCCCTGGGTTCTAGGTCTCCCTTCCTGGGTCAGTTTTCTGGCCTTTCCCTCCTCATGTGAGTGCGCATGTTTGCCAGCTCAGGAAGACACAGCGAATACTGCAGCTACCTGGGAGAAGCCCCTGGAACCCAGGAGCAACTTCCCAACCAATGGAGTTAAAAAGAACAACGAGAACCACTGTGTGTGTATGTGTGTGTAGTGTCCCCTTTCAGAAAGAGGAGAGGAAGTGTTTTAGAGAACAGAAAAAGGCCTCCGCTTTCCAGATTTCAATCAGGTTTCTTGGCGGAGGCTCCTCAGCTATTTCTATCTCAGCCAGCAGGGTTTGTTTCACTCTTTGAAATAGCCCCAAGGCCCCCAAAGATGGGGACAGATTTCTCCCAGGCAGGCTTCCTCCCAGCACAGCTTAGAGGCCAGCCCCCTACTCCCGCCCGCTCCAAACGGGGCTGCCTCCCAGCCTGCTCCTGGCGCGGGAAGAATGTGTGGCGCTCCCAGGGATGCTGGCAGCCGCCCCACCACTTGGCTCCAAAATCAGAACCATCTGGTGGAGTGAGGGAAGTCAGTGCGATGCCCAGAGAGAGGGAAGCTCTCCACAGCTGCAGCCCTGTGCCGGGCCGATCACTAAGTGTGGAGCAGGGGGCAAGGCGAATAAAGATTCGTTGTTGTTAAGTACTATCAAGTCAGTTATTACATTGCTGCAAATGACGGCTATAAATGTGCTTAGAAACATGTGCATGACGGCTGTAGCCGTCATTTGTGGCAATGTGGTACTGAACCATGGACTCTGCCTCGTGCTCCACAGTCTTTGCTGTGTTCGAGCCATCATTGCAGCTACTGTGTATGAGTCCATTTCATTGAGGATCTTTCTTTTTTTCCGCTGACCCTCTGTTTTGCTAACTATGACCTTCTTCGGTGGCAGCCCCTACTGGCTGGATTAGCAGGTGGAGACAGGAGGCACTTGGAGAATCATGATGGAGGGAAAGGAAAATGACAACTCAGCACATCCCCGAATTCATGCTATTTCCTCTTCTCTCGCCTCCACTATTGTTTCTCACAGGGACTGCTGGGATTCGTTGGTCTAGTCGGGGAGCCAGGAATCGTGGGTGAAAAGGTAAGTTGTGTTGAGGAGAAACAAGCAGGTGGAGCTTGTGTTTTGAAATATTTGCGAGGTGAAGAAGATAGCTGACCTTACCGTGTCAGAGAGCTCTCATCTGGCCTCCTCACTGCCCGGCATGCCAAAGACCATTGCCCTTTCCCAGCATCCTGTGGGGCTCTTGCCCTCCCACCCAGCACAGTTAGGCTTTCACTTGATAAGCAGCTGATAACTCTTTATGGCCACCCGCTGGTGCTGCTCAGTGGTAGACAACAGGGAAGAAGGTAAGGCTTCATCTTTTCAGAAAATAACATTTTTCTGAGGTTGCTTTAAGAATCCTGTCCCCTACTCCCCCAGCTCCATTTGACAGATGTGAAAACTGAAGTTAAGACAGAAGGAGGTAACTTGCTGAAAATCATGTAGATAGTAAGTGTTAGAACGGGGATTTGCACCTGTAAGTTTCAATACCAAAGGACTCAACTTTACCCACTAAGCTATTCTACTTCACATCAGCACTTAGCTCAAAAACAACCTATGGCTTCTTGGCTCCCACTGTGGTCCCTGGATGGTAAATGTTTTCCTTTGTATGAACTAATCTATTCCCAGAGAAGGCCTTCTGGGAAAGCTAGCATTGTTTCCATTAGACAGAGGGCAAAGCCAGTCCAGAGAGAGGAAGAACCCACCCAAGTCGGGCCTCACCTACCTTTATAAGTTTATCTGTGCCTTAACCCTCATCACCTCGTCATCTAAATCCTGTGCCCGTCATCATCTTTTTTTCATTTTATTTTATACTGATTTATTGACAAAGTTCAAATACCTTGTTTTTCACACAAGGTCCTCTCCATTTCCTTCACCTCCCCCATCAAATTGTTGTCATCATCTTTTGCATTTAACTTTTTAATTATAAATAATTCTAGATTCACAGAAGGGTAAAAACTAGTACAGAGAGATCTCTTCCACTCTTCATTCAGCTTCCAGCAATGGTAAATTTTGTATAACTGTGGTACTCATCGTTAAGTCAAACTGACTCACAGCTAACCCTCCGTTGGGTTTCTGAGACTGTAAATTGCATGGAAGGAGATGGTCCATCTTATTCCTTCAAAGCCACTGGCAGAGAGAGGCATAGCCTTTGAGCCGGCAGCCCTACGCTCCCTACAGTGAGCCGGCAGCACTGCACTCCCTACAGACTGTGCTACCTGAGTATGGTATTCTGTCAAAACCAGCTCTGGTTAATGCTCTGTGCGCCTCCTTACCTCCTAACCATTACCCATACCATTCCTTCAGCCAAATACAGTCTTCTCAACTCAAGCCCTTTTTATCTAGATAATTTTCCTTCAGTTCAGTTCAACAGCACTTTCTGAGAGAAGCCCTACCTGACCACCCCTGCTCCCAGGTGGGTCCATTCCTCCATCACAATGCAGAAGCACCTTGACACCACCCCTTACAGCCCTTGCCCTGGGTGACACTTTGCGTCTGTTTTGTTGGTTTCTGTCTATCTCTCTGTTATTCTCTATCCTTGTCATGGCAGGAGGGTCTGTCTCTTTCTGTAAATATTTTTATTTTAGTGTCCAGCATAAAGTTCCAAACACACAGCTCAGTAAATGTTTGCTGCATTTATTCACATGCTAGGAAAGGTAGAGAGGATCCGTGAAAGAGAAGACGACTCTCAACAAGATAGGTTGACACAGTGATTCCTAGAGTGGGCCTTGAACATGACAGAGATCGTGAGAAAGGTGCAGGATAAGAAAAAGGTTCAGGTCGGTTGTTCACAGAGTTGCTGTGAGTTGTAGACAACTCAGTGATGCCTAACAACAATATAATATTTAGATATGAAAAACTAGGGCCTCCATAAAACAGAGCCAGGACCAGAACTCGGAGCCCCTGTCCCTTGGCTATAACTCTGTCTGCTACACCCGCCATCTCTGCCTAGTCCAACTGGGTTAGTCTGGAAGGATGGAGTCTTGTCTCCAATTATCCGCTGTCTCGTTGAGGTTTGGGCAGGAGGGTAGGGCAGAGAAGGAAATACCTTCTGTTGCCATGTCCATCTCAGCCAGCCCAGCCCAGCCCAGCCCAGGGGATGCTGGCCTAATGAGGACCACATGACGTGGGTTAGGATCAAAAGATCAATGTAATTAATACACCCTTAATCTGGACCATCCTTGCCCCGGGGAGACCCACTGTGTGGCACGCTGCCGTGAATGCAGAGGCTTCCCTGGACTTGCTAGAGTCTTGGCATCTGCATAGTAAAATCCCAGATCCCCACCTCACAGCTACCCTGGGTTATGCGTTATGAGGAAAACAAGGACTCTGTAGACAAGTCTACAAGTCATTGCTTCTGTTGGGCCTCTGGAAGGTCCTTCTGCATCTGTCTCTCACCAAGTCACCCCACAACTATGACCTTCCCGAATTGATGTTTCTACCACAGGGTGACCGGGGCATGATGGGACCCCCAGGCGCACCTGGACCCAAGGGGTCGATGGTAAGGAGTAAGTCTGCATCCTCTTGCTCTTTCCTGTCACAGCCTTGGGGTGACAGCTCTGATGCCCTCAGCCTGCCTTGCATGTCCCAGACATTTAGGGTGACCCAATCCTTCTCCCTCCCGGACTTGCCTGGTGCCCTCATGGCCTGCAAGAGGAAGAGGTGCTGCCCACAGCTGACTCCTTCTCCTTCTCTCTTGGTAGGGTCACCCTGGAACAGCAGGCAGTGTCGGGACCCCTGGAGAGCCTGGACCCCTGGTAAGCAACACCTCCTGTCTTAGCTACTTCAGTGCTGCTTTAACAGAAATGCTTTAAGTGGGTGGCTATAAAGAGCAGAAATTTACTTTGTCATAGTTCTAGAGGCTAAAATTCCTAATCAGGGTCTCAGCCTTCTTAATGCCTTCCTTGTGGGTATCCTCAGGCAGTCTTTGGATCCTTGGCAATCCTCACAAAATGTTTGTTTTCGTGTGTGTGTGTGTAATCTTTTTTTTTGTATGTCACTTCATTTTTTTTAACTGTTGTTTTTTTTTTTAAATTTTTTTTTTCATTTCAATGAACACCTACAGAGATTTTGGAATTCCATTCATTGTTGCACCCTTCTCCCCTCCCCCCCCCCCCGTTTGCTCCTCTCCTTGAAAAGCAAAAGAAAAACTCCCTCACTGGTACACAATCCCCCCTGCACATCCCCCAACCACACCCCCAACCCCAAGCAATCTTTTTTTTTATAACTCAGAAGCGATTAGATTTAGAACCTGCCCTACTTGACTGTGATCTAATTGGCACAGCATAGAAAACTCTATTGCTAACAAGACTGCAAGCCCAGGTACGGTGTTGGGATTTCAGCATGTATCTGGCATGATGGACACCCCTGTGGTTCTTGAGTTCAAAGCCACTGTCAAGTCAGAGTAGAATCCAGGCCTCCGAGTCAGTCCTGAGTTTGAATCTTAGCTCCTCTACTCCCTGGCTGTATCATTCTTCAAGTTAGATCATGTATCTTCTCTGAGGTCAAATCTTGCTCATCTGAATAACAGGGAAAATCGTGAAGGTTTGATCATGTGGGTTCAACACCAGTGCTGCTAATTGCATGCCTTCCACACAGCAATGTTCGTTAACTGGAAGCATCGCTGTCATTAGGACCTGACTGTCTAGCTGTGCCAAAGGCAGGTCTAGGGGCCAGAGATGCAGCAATAAATCAAGATAGAAGAACCCAATCAATAAGTAACAACTACTATGGAGAGAGCAGAAAAGAAGGTGGGGTGTGCTGGAGACCAGGCAGGTGGTGCCAGGCTGAGACCCAAGTGCAAAGACGCCTAACTCCCATCAGCACATTCTCACTCCTGAGTCTCAGTCTCCCCTTCTGTCCAGGAGGTGGAGGAAGGACTGGAAAAGAGTCAAGAGGGAAAAATGGTTGGTCAGTGGGGGAGAAGTGGTAACAAGAAGTGGGAATGTCCTGATTGGCATTTCGAAGGAAGGTGCAGTCCTGTGAATCCCTCCTTAACAATGGGGCTCTGGTTGTATTGTCCATCGTGTATTTCACTGGCCACCAAAAGGCCTTACATCAACAGATCTCCTCCTGTTAAGATCTGCATCCTCAGAAACACAATGAAAGATCACTATAAGTTAGGTCAGTTTGACAGCTCTGAGTTCTGTGAGTGACTCCAGTAATCCCATACCTGAGCCATGCTGAGATGATCCTCAGCGCTTCCTGTCTGCCTCTCACTGTGTGACCTCAAGGGTGTCCCTTCCCAGGAGATGTTCACCCATCCGTCTGTGCAGTGAGTTAGCCCTGACTTAGTGGATCACGCCCCTTGCCGTTTTCACATATCAAGATTGCTATTAACACTCTCCTCCCACATTGCTCACTGTTGATCAGTGGGCTTGAGCCCTTGGACCTCTTGAGTGGGGTTTCTTCTAAACAGCTACGGCCCCTAGAGCCCCTGAGGGAAGAGAACAGTAAAGAGGTCCATAAACCTTCAAAATCAAGCAAAGCCAGGGTTCTAATCCTGACTTTCCCACTTACTAGCTGTGTGACTGCTCAGCACTTCTCTGCGTCGTCCTACAACTTCTTTAGGAGATTGTTGGGATAAATGAGCAGAGGGTGTAATTCTTAGCAAACTGCCTGCATATGTTACTGCTGTTGTATGATACCATCGAGACAGCTAAGACTCAGTGATCCTGAGCTTTGAACCCTGCGACAGTCACAGAATTCCTGTCATGCTCGAGCCCATTGGTACAGTCACTGTGTCAATCCATCTTATTGAGGGTCTTCCTCTTTTTCTCTGACCCCCAGCTTTTCCCAGTATGATGTCTTTTCCTATGGACTCCTATGACCCCTCCTGACAGCATGCCCGAAGTATGTGAGACTAAGTTTCATTATCCTTGCCTCTAAGGAATGCTCTGGTTACACTTCCTCCAAGACAGATTTGCTTGTTCTTTTGGAGTCTATGAAAGAGTTTCTCCAACATCACACTTCAAAGACATCAACTGTCATCCTTATTCATTGTCTAACTTTTAGATGCATAGGAAGCAACTGAAAACGCCAGGTAGCTTGATCAGGTGTATCAGGTGTATCTTAGTCTTTAAACTGACATCCTTGCTCTTTAGTACTTTGGAGAGCCTTTGACAGCAGATTTCCCCAGTGCAACATGTCTTTTGGTTTCTTAACTGCTGTTACCATGGGTATTGATTGTGGTTCCAAGTGAAATAAAATAGTTGACAACTTCAATCTTTTCTTCATCTATCATGATGTTGTTTATTGGTCTTGTGGTAAGAAGTTTTATTTTCTTGATGTTGGGATGTAACCCATATGAAGACTGCAGTCTTTGATCTTCTTCAGTAAGTGTTTCAAGTCTTCTTCACCTTCTGTGAGCAAGGTTGTGCTGTCTACATAACGCAAATTGTTGACAGGTCTCCCTCCAATCCTGATGCCACATTCTTCTTCACATGGTCTGGTTTCCCGAATGATTTGCTCAGCATGCAGACTGGATAGGTATGGAGACTGGGTATAGTCCTGATGCATTCCTTTCCTGATTTTAAACCAATCAGTCTGGACTGGTTTAAGTCCCTTTGTTCTGTTTGGACAACTGGTTCTTGGTCTATATATAGGTTGTACCTGAGCACAATTAAATGTTCTGAGATTCCCATCCTCAATGTTAGCCATCATTTGCTATGATGTACACAGTCAAATGCCCTTACATATTCAACAAAACACAATCATTTTTCTGGTATTCCCTGCTTTTAGTCAAAATCCATCTGACATCAGCAGTGATATCCCTTGGTGTTTAATGAATGGTATTAGTAATAAGTATTCTTGCCATTTGTTAGATATAATAATTGCCATGACTATTAGCAGAACTATTAAAGTGGCTTTTCTGTGATACTTTTCACATCTGATTGACATTTCCTCATGTTTCTAATCACTTTGACTTCCTTATCCTCCCGAAGCCCATTGAGGTCAGTTGAAATCTTTCTCTCTGTTGTTTGGGAAGGAAGGCATACTGAAGCTCTGGGCCTTGCCAGGGCCACCCAATGGCCAGATCTGCATCTGGCATCCAGGTTTCTCGCCTCCACCCTTTTTGAGGGGGAATTAATTTCTGGGCTCTTTTTTAAAATTCTAGTTTATTTACAAAATTTGAATACATTATTTCTCATACCAGTTCCTTCCCATTTCCCTAACACCCCCATCAAATTGTGCAACCCATGATTATTTCTGCCACCCACCCCCGGCTTCCATTCCCCCTTCCCCAGATCCTCATACTCATTCTATAATAAAGGTTTTGTACAGTATTTGTCCTCATGGGACTGAGTTAGTTCACTCAGCATAATGCTCTCCAGTCCCTCCCAAGTTAGTAGTAATTCACAAAATCATTGCTCTTGTGTGTTGCGTAGTATTCTGTTGTGTGAATATACCATAACCTTCTCAATCCATTTGGTTGTGGTTGGACATCTGGGCTGTTTTCATGTTCTTGCGATGGTGAATAACACTGTTATGTATACCAACCCATATTGGCATACAAGTATCTATTTGTGCCTCAGTTCTCATTTTCCTGGGGTATATTCCAAGCAGTGAAATAACTGGGTCAAATGGAATTTCTATGTTCAGCTTGTTGAGAAAGTGCCAAACTGCCTTCCAGAGTAGTTGTACCATTTTACAATCCTACCAACAATGTATGTTCCTATTTTTCCACATCATCTCCAACGTTTATTGCTTGCTGTCCTGTTAAATTGTTGCCACTGTTACTGGAGTGAGATGGTAGCTCATTGTGGTTTTGATTTGCATCTCTCTTATTGCTGGTGATTTGGAGCATTTCTTCACGTGTCTGTTTTGCCTCCCCTTTTGAGACAGCCAAGTACTCTTTACTAAGATCCCTCTCCATTATCTTCCCAACAATTCTAAAAGTTGGGATTCATCCTGTTCCCGTTTTATAGATAGTGAAACAGAGACCAAAAAAGTTTGACTGTCTTATCTAAGGAGATACGATAAGGAAGGGGCAGAGCTGAGATTTGAACCCTTGGTTTTTGCTGTTTATTCTTCCTGTTTTTCAAACCCTCTGCTCTGCTGCCTCAGGGCAGACACTTGGCTTCTATAAGTTCCCAGTGATATATTGCCTGCCTTCTGCAGTCTGAGAATGCCCTATAAAAAGATCTCTTCTCACTCAGTCTTCATGTTGTCCACCATCCGGGAGTCAGATCTGCCTTTTTATTGGGCCAAACTGGAGTCCACACCCTGTCGAGGTCTGATGATGAGGTGTTGGGCAGGGAACCAGCCCTCACATCAATCTCACAGCAATAGCTGTTACAAGGGGCTGCCAGTTCAGGAATGGGGGGCTGTGTCTGCACCCCTAAAGGTAAATAGGAGGGAGAAACGAGAGCAACAAATTTTTTTCTGCGTCTCCAAATGGAATTGGGCCTCTCCTTGGTAGTTAGAGTGGGACGAGGCCGTATTTTTCCTTGTTAAAGGGATCATGGCACGGCTGAGAGTTGCCAGTGCTGAGCTGAGAGGCCCTGCCACTGTCACAGGGGTCCTGGCTGGCCTGCGGGATGGAGTGGGTTCTCCTGTGACAGAACTGGGCAGCAAGGCAACTGCTTCCTCTCTCCACCATCTTTCTTCTCCTCTACCAAGCTGTTACCTTCATTTGTTTATTTAGCAGATTCTTAAATGCTTGGCATATAGTCTGTGCTGGGCTCCAACTCATTGCCCAGACTCACTGTCGTGGAGTCTGAACAAACTCGTAGCTGACCTTCCAGCAGGTTTTCAGAGGCTGTAAATGGAATGAGAGGGGACTGCCCATCTTTCTTCCTCGGAGCCTCTGGTGGATTTAAGACAGCAGACAGGCATGGCCTTTGGGTTAGCAATGCAACTCCCTGTGGACTATGCCAGCAGGGCTCCTGGACACCAGAGCACCCAGAGGTGCCGAGAAGTCACACAAGAATCAAGTCCACCCTGTTGTCTCTTTCCTTTCTTCCTGTCTCTCCCTTTGTTCTGCTTTTTTTTTTATCCCTTCGTCAGACCAAGATAGCGGGGCACCCACTCCAAGCCCAGTTATCTCCCCTTCCCATTTCTCTACCGTTTTCATTCCTCTTCTCTTGATGATCCCTACTTCTTGTCCCCAGTCATCTCACAGCTATGTCCTCAGTTCTTCCACGAGGCTCTTTCTGACCCCGGCAGAGCTTTCTGGAGGCCTTTAAAGGGACATTTGCCTCAGGATTGGGTAAGGGAAGGAACTTTGATTTTCTTATTCTCTTTTGCTCATGGAAGAGAAAAAGTAAATATAGGAGTTTTGTCCAGAATGCCAGGTTGAGGTGAAGAGGCAAGTGGCTTGTCCAAGAAGTCTTCCCTACTACCTATATTCCTAAGAGATGCTGAGGCCCCCTCCTGTCCTCCGCAAGCCATTAATGCACGGCCAGTGACAGCTCAAGACCCCACAGACCAGATTCAACGTCCTGCAGTGTGGGAGCTGCTGGTGTACCTGGAGCCAGGGTGGGGACAGCTGCACAGGGAGTGCCTCAGGCCTTCAAGTTGTGCTCCCAAGCTGCCAGCCCTCCGTGTCACACTCACTCCCTGAAAGTGGCCTCTCTAAATGCTTTCTCTTCTCCACAGGGCCCTCCAGGGCCTCGAGGCCCACCTGGCTTGAGGGGACCCAAGGGACACCGGGTAAGTTAGACCCAGCCCCCAGGGGTCAGACACTGGCTGGGACACACTTGGAATGGAGCCACCTGCTGGCTGCTGTCTCCTGGTCCTTGCTCCCAGCCCTGATCTGAGACCTGAGCTTCACAGCGCTAGGCGACGTGCCCAGGCCCGTCTGTCAGTATAGCTCAATTCTGGGTGCTGGACCAAGACCCCCCATGGACACCTGTGCTTTGTTTATTCATTCATTTGCTCGTTCATTCTCTCAGCCTCCATTTGTTTAGCACCTACTATGTGGCACTCACTGTTGTTGGCCCTGCAGATACTGCAGAGGCTAGATCAGGCATGACCTCGCTGCCTCATGGCTCAGTATAGTAGATCCAACAGTCTAGGGACAATACAGTACAGCATCATCGGCACAGGCCATTTGGGAGCCCAGGGAAACTTCTAGCAGATGACAGCATCTGAACTCACTCTGGGAGAAGGACCAGCAGGAGGAAAGCCTTGTAGTACGGAAGCATGTGGGTGCTTAGGATCCCCGAGTTGTGCAACAGGGGGATGGGGCAGGGCGTATGGCTGAGACATACATGTTGAACCAGACAAGGCCTTAGAAGCCACAGCTAGACCTATGGGCTGTGCTCCCAGGGGTTTGGGGGAAGTTTATTAAGCAGGAGCTGATGTGAGCTGAGTCCCTAGATTGTGCAGATGGTTATGCACATGACTTCTATCAGAAAGGCTAGTGGTTCATAGCCACCCCAAAATGCCATGTTAAGAAGACCTGGCAATCTATTTCTGAAGGATCAGTCATTGGAAACCTTCTGGAGCCTAATTCTCCTCTTTAACACATTGGGTTGCCATGAGTCAGAATCCATTTTGCAGCAGTTGATTTGCCTGCCTGCCTGCCTTCCTTCCTTTCCTGCTCCTCCTCCTCTTCCTCCTCCTCTTCTTCCTCATCCTCTTCTTCTCTCTCTCATCTGTCCATGGTGGCCAGGGATAGTTGCTAGAATTTTCTATATAGCAAAGGAATTTTGGTAGCATAATGGGTAATTGCTCAGCTACAAGTAGCAAAGTCAGAGGTTTGAACCCACTAGCCACTTTGTGGAAGAAAAGGCCTGGTAATAAATAAAGTTGACACAAAGTTAGCTCCCATAATGCTGACAGCCTAGAAGATTCTGTGGGGTACATTTTTATAAAGCATATTATACAGGATCTCTATGAATCAGAATCTGCTTGGTGGCACACAGCTGTACCTATGTACCAAGCACCGTTTATCACTAAATTAACTCATTTCATTCTCAGCACTACACTATGGGGTAGGTGTTGTCCTTATCCCCATTCTACAGATGAGAAAACTGAGACATACAGGAAGGAAGTCACCTTCCTCAGATCATGGAGTTAGAATGTGGCAGAACTGGGATTTGAACCCAGGGAGTCTGGTTCTTTTGTATGCTGAATCCAGCCTTGTTTTCAGTCGTGCCAGGAGGGCTGTTGCAGGCCTTTGTGTTTCCAGATCGCATAGAGGAGTAGCTCTCTTGTAAGGATGGAGCAGGCACCCTGGGCCCAGGACCTAAACTCCATGCATGAGATCTGTGATTATTATTTTCCTCTTGGCTGAATTTCAAGTGGTTTTAAAGTTTCCACCAAACCAGATGGCCTGAGCAGGCTAGGGTGAGGAAGATTAAAAGGCATTCCTCTGGCCTGGTGGGCCCCCTCCCTGAGACATCTCCTGGAGAATGAGCTGGAGCCCAGGGAGCAGGCAGGTTCCACTCTGACCTGGTGTATCTTTCTTCCTGCCCCAGGAAGCACCCAAGCAGCTGCAGGGAAAGCTGCCATAGCCCTGACCCCTGGCTCCATTCTCTGCTGTGGCCCTGGACCCTGGTTCTCTCACAGACGTTAGCCTCTTTCTCACTTTCACCTGTCTACCACCCCTTCCCAGCCGGGGCCTGAGGAATGTATCCCCCTAACTGCAGCCAAGACTCTGGGGCTAAGGGGTAGAGAGGAACATTAGGAAGCCTGACTTCCCCCCCTCCCCATCCCTCTGCAGAAATGAAAACCCTATGGGATCAGGCCTCTCTGGACTCCCACTTCACAGATGGGATCAATGAGGCAAGGTGTGAGTGAGCTGGACAAGTCTCGAGTAGCTCCTGGCTCATCCTAAGCCTTGCTATGCCTGGGACCTCAGTTTCCCCACATGTCCCAGGAATGGGGAAGCGGGCTGAGAAGTCTGTCACAGGGCTCTGCCTGTCTGCCCATTTGTGAGATGGGCCTTCCTGAGGAAAATGAGTGCTAAGGGGTTGAGACCTAGAGAAGGATGGGCCCTCTCACTTCGGCCTTTGCAGAGGGGTGAGTGAGGTTGCTGACCGAGATCTAGGCCCACTGGCCCTCGCTTGATGTGGACTCTGGAATCAAAATAATCCTGGGGACACGTCTCAGCCTCTCTAGTCACCAGCTGGCTTCTCAGCCTTTCTGCAATTTGACTGATGGTGACATTAATTCTTCTCTCTGCAGGAATGTAAGATTCTGAGACTTGACTCTTCTTCTGGAGTGAGGGTTAGAATTGAGCAGGCTTGACCTCAGCCCCAGGACTTCCTATGTGACCTTGGGCAGCTGATTTCTGCCCATCCCCTTTAAGCCTGGGGTTCTTCCTCTGATCGATGACAGAACCAGCCTGTTGTCAGATATTCTTGGAATGCTATCACCTAACGAGTGCACAGTAAACGCCTGCTAGCACACTAGCACACAGTAAGGGCTCTGGGCCATCATCTGCCCTTTTTCAGAAGAGCTGTGGTCAAACGGATTTTCCGTCCTAGGCAAGGGCTCAGGCATAGGCAGCCCCTCCCACAGAGCATGACCCTGGGCCTGGCTGGCAGGCGGCCCTGGCCTTGATTGCAAATATCTCCCTGGAGGAACAGATACAGGAGAGTGGACATGTGGCTCTGATTGAAACCCAGGCCTGCCTCCAGGGGGCGGACCGGCTGGCCACTGTTCCCAGGGAAGGAGGGGCAAGGACTGAGGAAACCGGGCCAGCTGCAGGGTAGCAGAACACAAGCAACGGAGTGTGCGGCCACCCTCACCATGCACGTGGAAATGGTGGCTGGGGGTCCCACTACCTCACCTCTGTCCAGACAGGAAAGGTCAGTCTTGCTCTTTGTATGCTCTTTTCTAGCTTCCTCCACCTCTACCTACCCCCAGCTTGTGGGTGCTCACACATAACTGAGATTTTAAGACCATTTTCTCCAACACCCCAGTCTACTCCAGAGCCTTCTGTCTGGTCCCTCCAGGCCCTGGCTCACACACTCCCTGTGACAGGATGCTCAGTCCCAGCTAATAACTGGTAACATGTTGTAGTGAAATGCAATGACTATCAGCTAACCTGGGTTCAAATTCTGGCTCCTTCATTTCCTAGCAGTGTGACGTTGGACAAGTTTAACTGTGTCCTGAGTCTGCTTATTTGTAAAATAAGGAAAATAACATCCACTGCTTTCGCTGCTGTTGTTATTGTTGTTGTTGTGTACCATAGAGTTGGAACTGACCCAGACCTGACCCTCCAGTGGGTTTTCAGAGGCAGTTAATCGCACAGGAGGAGACTGCCCATTCTTCTCTTGCAGAGCAGCTGGTGGCCTCAAACCACCTGCCTTTGGGACTGTAGAGCAACTTCTTGCCAATAGGCCACCAGAGCTCCCTATTGTTACTATTATTACATGGTGGACAGTGTTTGGTGGAGCTCCCCAGTTAAAACAAGCTTGGAAGCAGGAGTGGCATCCACTTCCAAAATAGCTTGTTTCCAGAAACCCTATGAACTTGGAGAAATGATGAAATTTATACAAGTGTTCAAGTCTTTTATTCACAGAGTCGCTAAAAGTCGCCTACGACTCAACAGCAATTAACAACAACTATTATTAAAAGATCACATGGCTTTCAGCACAGTGACTTTAATTCCTAAGATAAGCAGGGTGCTGTGAAGTTCAAGGTCAAGCCCTCTAATCTGCTGTCCTCTCTGTCTCATACAGAAAGGTCTGTGCCTCAGCCAGGGCCCAGAAACCCACTTGCAAGTGGGACTGGGCTGCCCACCCATCTCTGACCTGGAACCTCCGTCTGGTTCCATCTAACACAGGTGCCCACTCAACAACCTGAATCAAAAGTGTTAAGTCTGACTGTTCATGTGAGGCCAACACCTAGAAAAAGAGAGGGCCTCTCCCAGGGGCAAACATCAAGTGGGCTGCAGAACCAGGATTAGCACCCAAGCTCTTTAATCCCCAGTAGAGTTAATTAAACCTTGTCTTGAATCAGTGAAAACCCTCAGCTGATTCCACATGGCATAATGTAATGTAAATGGCTTACTGGGAAAGGAACCAAGGTCAAATTTGCTAAACCACTTCTTTTTTGTCCCTGCCTTGTGGGCAACCATCACTTGCAGTGGCAGAGCCAGGCCGGGCCAGGAACAAGCATTGCTAAGCCACTGTCCATGCATGCTGAGCTGCCCTGCCTTGAAGGGACACCTTGCCGCCATTTCAGAAATGAGGTGACTGAGACTCAGAGAGGAGCAGTCATGTGTCCCTGGGTCACAACATTTCCTGAGCACCCCTGTGCCTGGTGCCAAACCCGGCAGTCAGCCCAGACCTTGGCCTGGAAGTCTGTAGGAAGAAAGACTTTAAGCTGAAGTGCTATGTTAGGCCTGGAGGTGTCCTCTCCTGGAATTGATCAGTGAAGTGCCATTTTAGACCCTGATGTGAAATTAAAGCAGCAGGAGGCCCAGGCAGCTGATTAATTGAAATGTGCTTTGTTTAACAAGGGATACGATATCATTGCTGATGTCAGATGGATCTTGGCTGAAAGCAGAGAATAATAGTAGGAAAAATGATTACTTGTGTTTTATTGGCTATGCAAAGTCATTGGACTGAGTGGATCATAATAAATTATGGATAACATTGAGAAGAATAGGAATTCCAGAACACTTAATTGTGCTCCTGCAGAACCTGTACATGGCCCAAGAATCAGTCATTCGAACAGAACATGGGAACACTGCTTGATTTAAAATCAGGAAAGGTGTGTGTCAGGGTTGTCCATGCTAATTCAGTCTGTATGCTGAGCAGATAATCCAGGAATGTGGCCTATATGAAGAAGAATGTGGCATCAGGATTAGAGGAAGACTCAACAAGCTGCAATATGCAGATGACACAACCTTGCTTACTAAAAGTAAAGACAGCTTGAAGTTCTTGCTGAAGCTCAAAGACTACAGTCAGTGTCAAAGAAACAAAACTCCTCACAAATGAACTAATAAAGAATATCATAATAAGTGGAGGAAAGGTTAAAGTTGTCAATGATTTCATTTCACTTGGACCTGCAGTCAACCACCATGAAAGCAGCAGTCATGATATTGGACAAATCTGCTGCCACGGGCTAAGCTGCTAAAGAGCAAGGCTGTCAGTTTAAAGACTAAGGTGTGCCTGACCCAAGTCATGTTCTTTTCTATGGCTTCAAATGCTTGTGAAAGTTGAACAATGAATAAGGAAGATCAAAGAAAAATTGATGCCTTTGAATTGTGTTGGCAAAGAATCTTGGACACATGATGGACTGCCAAAAGAACAAAAATAATGTGTCTTGGAAGAAGTACAGCCAGACTGCTCCTTAGAAGCAGGAATAGTGAGACTGTCTCGCATACTTTGGATGAGTTGTCAGGAAGGGCCGGTCCTTGGAGAAGGATATCATTCTTGGAAAAGTAGAGGGTCTGTGAGAAGGAGGAAGGCCCTCAGAGCTGTATTGACACAGTGGCTGCTGTAGTGGACTTGAGTACAGCAGAGGTTGTGGGGACAACATAGGACTGGACAGGGTTTTGCTCTGTTGGTGGCTGTAAGTCAGAACCTACTTGATGGCACCTAACTGCACATCTTTATAGGAACAGACTGCCTTTCCTTATCCTACAAAATGAGTTGTGGGTTCAAACCACTGACCTGTCGAGTTTCTTATAGCCACATACTTATCCACTGTACCACCACCAGGCCTCCTCCTAGAGGACTAACACCTGCTAATGTGCTAACTGACCTTGGACAAGTCACTTGGCTTGGCTGGGCCTCAGTGTTCCCACTCATGTAATGGGAGCGGGTGCAGACTCAACCTGGCCTGGGGCTGCCTGGCACTCTGGACTCCTGCCTGGATTAGTCCTGAGCTCCTGACCCCTGCTGATGCCCTCACCTTGCTGTCTTCTCCCTCAGCCCATCAGCCCAGCCCTTCCTTCATCTGTGAGCTGGGTCAGATTAGCCCATGTGTCTGGCTGGAGAGGGAGTTGTCTCCACACCAATGGCCTCAAGCTCTCCTCTCAGCTTCCCCACGGGCTGTGACCCTGTCACTGACATGCTTCCCCACATACTTGCCGCCACCTCCTGGGCAGGGCATACAGGGAGGAGTCTGAACACCTGGCTATGGGGACTTGGCTGTGAGCAAATGCCTCTCTGCTCTGGTCCTCAGTTTTTGTGTCTGCAAAATGGGTTGGATGGCTGGCCCCCAAGATCTAACGTGTTATACCACACTGCCCTGTTCCTGAAGGGCCAGGCCTCCAGCCAAGTCCACCCATGCTGTCCCTGCTGCAGAGCCTTCCCAGCAGAAACTGTGCACTGGACTGAGCTCCCTCAGCAGCTTCCTCAGAGTGAGAGCGAGCAGCAGATGCAGGGAGCTCTGGGTGACGCAGGGAGAGGCCCCAGGTTCTGGGCAGACCCACCCTCCTGGTTTCCAGTCCAAGGGAGACCCCTGCTGTCCAGTATGTTAGTCCCTTTTTCTTATTCCAGGGCCCCGGAGGACCAGATGGAGCAACTGGGGAACCAGGGTCCAGGGGCTTGAAGGTACTGACCCCCATGATTTTCCTGTATTCACACTACAGCAAGTCAGGGACCCAGCAATCCCACTTCACAGCTTCCTCAGCACCAGGCCCCCCGGAAAGACTGCAGGGAGTCAGGAGAGCCCAGAGGGCAGATGCTGGAGAGCTTATTCCATCTGCCCCTCCTGGCCCCCTGCAAGCCCCGAGCGTGGGCACAGGGTAGAGGAGAGCCCTGAGCAGGAGAGTGACTGAGGGAGAGGGCGCTAGTGAAAGGATGGGAGACAGGAGGGTGGGGAGGAACACGTGCACTGCAGACCTTTCCCTGCGCACAGCCCCCGCACGCAGTCCTGTCCACAGGCCCCTGAAGCTTTGTCTAGTTCTTGACTTAAACACCTGGTGACTCTAGCAAGTCATTGACTTTGCGGAACCTTAGTTTTCCCACCTGCACAATGGATAGAGGGTTGACTCACAGGTTCCCTTCATCTGTGAAGTGAGGTGGGAGTAAAGAGTCCTCTCAAGCACCCTTCCCACCTTCACGTGCTTTGCTCCCTGCAGGGCCCTCCAGGACCACAGGGCAGACCAGGCCAGCCTGGGCAGCAGGTACGTCCCCACACCCCCTTCCAAGAGGCCAGGCCAGTGTCATGCAGGCCCTTCCTGTTCCCAGCTTTGTGCTATTGGCCTCTCACCACCTTCCTTGGTGCTCAGCCTCTAATGACCCCAAATGTGCTTCCAGGGCATGACTGGTGAGCGAGGGGACACCGGTCCACGTGGCTTTCCTGTAAGTAGTGCCAATTCTTGGAATCCTCTACATGGTGGGGGCGGAGGGGTATACACTAGCCAATTAAACCTTGGTGCATGTATCCTCCACCTCTGGGTCCTAGTCTCCTACCTGTTAGAGCACTACAATCTAATACACTGTAAACAGGCCTGTCTCGGGTCAAGGGGTCAATCAGGGGGAAGAGGCACTGAGGTCCTCTTGTCTGGTCTCTGCAGGGCATCCAGGGTCCCTCGGGTCCCCCAGGCACCAAGGGCCTCCCAGGAGAACCAGTAAGTACCCTTCCTGACCTCTCTAGTGTCAGAATCCCCAGAAAGCTGGGCTCAGACAAGTCACCATGAGATCTGTGGTCAAACAAGAAGATTAAAAAGGAACAATGCCAGGGTTCCACTGCCATGGTGGGACAGGACCTGAAGATGTGAAGAGACCAGTAGAAAGGGACTCAAGAGATCTAGATTCAAGGTTAAGCTATGCCTATCATCCTGCCTCAGCCTTCTCACCAGTAAAATAGGAGTAATTGTCTACTTTGACATTTGGCCATGAAGATTGAATGAGAGAGTCTGTATAGTGTGCTTGATGTGGTGAAAGGCTGAGGGAGGGAAGGGAGGAAGCAGGGAGGGAGAGAGTTGTGGCTAGATTGACAAGCTGAGACCTGCAGGGTTGACTGAGACTGGACCACAGAGCAAGGCAGCAGGGACAGCAAAAGTTGACAGGGACCAGTAGCTCAAAGCCACCCAAAGAGTTGGCTCTTTGTCCTGGGAAGAGCTACTGAAAGACTTGCAAAGAGGCTGCTACTTGCCAACTTCCCTCCAGCGGGTGTCGGGTGTCTGTAAAGGATGGAATTGAGACGACTTGGGTGAGCAGCTGCAGAGGGTGGAGGCGCTGAGCTGGTAGTGCTGAGAGGGAAGGATGCCCCTCCACAGTGGGGGAGAGAAGAGTACCCCACCCCAGGCCACTGCCTTCCTGCTTCTTGGGCCGGAGCAGTTGTCTTCTGCTCAGTGGACTTAACTTGGGGAGTCCTGAGGGACAGCCGGAGTACTACGGACACCGTGACCCTCTGTGAGAGATGAAAAGTGGTACTTGGGAGCCCAGGCTCTGTAAGCTCTCTCCCTCACCCACGCCAAAGCGGGCCTACACTGGCTCCTCCCAACTGTCTGTCTGTCTGTCTTCTAGGGCCCGCAGGGTCCTCAGGGACCAATCGGCCCACTGGGAGAGATGGGACCCAAGGTGAGTGCCGAGGGCCCATTGTTCAGTCCACGGGACTGTGGCTAGCTGGGATGTAGCAGACCTCACGGCCCCCGTCTGCCTTTCCCTGACCTGCCTGGGGAGGTGGTCTTGTTCTATGCACTGCAGTCTGAAGGGTAGGTCCACTGGGGTGCCGTTCAGCAAGTTGCTGGACACAGGCCCCAGGGATGGTGGGTGGACACCGGCTGGCAGTTCCCTGAGCCCACTGGGACTTCACCCGAAGTGTGATTACAGACCAGCCCTTTCAGGGTCAAGTGGCAAGACTTGAGGGATCCAGTCACCTCTCCCTGCCTTATCCTGCTGAGTTCTCTGAGAGGGCTGCAGCCATGCTGAGGGGAGAATCTGGGACCCTCCAGGCCTGGCCTCAGAGAGAAGGGCTGAAGGCGTTCAGTCCCAGTGCAGCATGTGTGGGTTACCCCACATCATTATGTAAATCATGACATTCTCCTCCTGCTTCTTGCCAAAGGGCTCCTCGTGGTAAACCACACTTGTGGGGAGACTGGGTTTCACAGCCATTGGGTAGCCAAGAATGTTGACAGCCAGGGCCCAGTTACCCCTCTTCCCTCTCACCCTACCTCCAAGCCTACAGGAAGCTGATACTGTCCAGCTGTATGCTGTGTGACTGCAGGCATGTCCCTGACCCTCTCTGGGCCTCAGTTACCCCTTCGTTTACATTAGGAATCAGCCTCTGATCTAAGAGTAACCAGTGGCATTTTCTCGCAGGGGCCATCGGGAGCAGTGGGAGAACCAGGCCTTCCTGGGGAAGCTGGCATGAAGGTGAGCCCGAATGAAAGAGGAGAAAATGGCTAGCTGAAACCACCTCGCCGCTGGCAGCAATGCGCTCCCAAAGGAAAAGAAGGGGCCTTTCTCGGGCCCAGGATAATGGGTTCTCTGTGCTCCTGGTAGGGGGGCCGGACCCAGCCGTGACCACAGCCAGTGCCCAGGGCCCCACACCCACCTCTGCTGGTGATGTTTTCTCTGGCACCTGCCCCTGCCTCCATGCTGGGCGGCCGTACCTCCCGTTCTCCAGCGATACCATCTGCATTTCTGTGCCAATGTCCCTCATTACGTCCCTGAAAACAGGCGTCCGTTGATACCTGGGCTCTGGGGAGACCCTCCCCCCCCAGGTCTACTTTTGGAAGAGCACCCTGTTCCCTTTTCCGGTCCCAGAGCCAATGAGCGATGCTGGCCGCCCAGGGACATTGAGGCAGGATCTGAGGGACCTGAAGCAGGTCACCCCTCTTCTGTACCTGACTCTTCCTGCCATCCACAAAAGGGGACTCAGCCTCTTTGAGACAGTCCAACTTGGCTTAGTCCCAAAATCCTTTGCTTAAACACAATACAGAAAACCACCTGCATATAAAACAGATAGAAGTGGTCTTAGACAGTATTTTTCCTTACGGGCCTGAGTTAGTTTACTTATCGTAATGCTCTCCAGTCCCTCCCAAGTTCCGTAGTAATTTTAGAAATCATTGCTACTGTGTGCTGTGTAGTATTCCGTCATGTGAATGTACCAAAATTTCTCAATTCATTCGATTGTGGTTGAACATCTGGGCTGTTTCCATGTTCTTGAGATGATGAATAGCATTGCTATGAACATTGGGGCACAAATCTCTGTTTGTGTCTCAGTTCTAAATTTCTAAGGGTATATTCCAAGCAGTGGAATTTCTGGGTCATATGGAATTTCTATGTTCATCCTTTTGAAGAAACACCAAACTGCCTTCCGGAGTGGTTGTACCTTTTTACAGTCCTGCCAGCAGTGGATGAGAGCTCCTATCTCATCCACCAGCAGTGAATGAGAAGTCACTATTGTAGAAATAGAGAGGTACCTAGTAAAACGTGTATGAGGATCCAAGGTGGGGTGGGGGAGCAGAGGGGTAACGATGGGCAGGCGGAAACCACAGGGTGGTGGTGATGATGGAGGTGGGCATCCTGATGATCCTCCTACCCTGCGTACGGTCAGGACTCACTCAGAACAAGGCCTACAGTCTGGTCTCTAGTTGATCTTTGATTGTTGAGAAGCAGGATCTTCCCTAGCTCACCCTCTTCCGACGTCAAGTCAGCACTATTGAAAATGGGGTGACAATGGGGTGAAAAGATGGTGACAGCTGGAAATGACTTTACCTACCCCTGATGGACCTGTGTTTGGTTTCTACTAGGGTGACCTTGGACCCTTGGGCATCCCTGGTGAGCAGGGCCTCATTGGGCAACGGGTGAGTTGAAGTAAATTCTCCCTGAAAACCCCACTGGGGCTATCTTATCAGGGGCTTGGCTCAGGGGAGGAAGACAGGGAGGGACTTAACCTCGCTGAACTTCAGTTATTTTAGTGACATAAAAAGACCCTAAACCTTCACAGCCTTAGTCATAGTTAGAAAGATGGGTGCTCTTCCCAGGAATGTCCCTCATCTTCACTCAAAACTCTTTCTAGGGAGATCCAGGCCTGGAGGGTGACAGTGGCCCCATAGGACCTGACGGGCTAAAGGTGAGTGTCCCTCTGGGGCAAGGCTGCCCTCCATCCCTACCCCACTACTCTCCCATCCAAGACCCACCTTTCTTCATGGAGCCATGTTCCCCAAGGTTGTTGAGACCACACCCTTGTCTCCCACTGAAGAGTGGGTGAGGGTTAGCCCTGCGCAAAGCCAGGCCTCCTGTCCTGCCTACATGGCTAGGGGACACCTCCTGCCCAACTGCTTTTCTCCTTGGAACTCCAACTTCTTTCTGCTGATGAAGGGTGACCCTTGAACATTGTCACACTCTGCCTTGTCTGCATTCTCTTCCACACATCTTCTAGATCAGGCAACTGTTAACCACCATGTGACACAGTAACTGGGGTAGGTGTGTCGGAGACAGTGAGATTGGCTCAGGATAGGGCAGGGTTCAGAGCTGTTGTGCAGAGGGTCACTATGAGTAGCAGTCAATTCAACGACACATAACAACAGTCACACGCCCTGTATAGCCCCACCTTAATCAATACTACGAAGGGTAAGATCTGTCTTTAGATGAAGAAGCTGAGACTCAGAGAGTGACTTGCCCAAGAACACACAGCTAGTAATTATCACATCCAGAACCCAAATCTGGGGCTAACTGGCTTCATAAATATGGCCTATTCTGCTGGACCCATTATAAAGCTGAAGAGACGATGGCCTGGAGGTTTGCAGAGGTGCATTCAATCATAATCTATGGTAAGAGTTGTTGTTATTGTTACGTATTGTTGAGTTGTGATAGACTCCGACTCCGAGTTGGACTTGTACATGACCCTCCAGAGGATTGTCAGAGGCAGTAACTGAAGAGGAGAAAATCGCCGGTCTTTCTCCCACAGAGCAGCTGGTGGACTTAAACCGTGTGCTTTTTGGTTAACAGCACAACTCCTTACCACTAAATCACCGGAGATCCTGTGGTCAGAGCTGCTGTTGTTGTGTGTCATCAAGTCAGAACCAACCCATCGCCGACCCTCCAGTGGGTTTTCAGAGACAGTAAATATCACAGGAAGAGACTGCCCATCCTTCTCCTGCAGGGCAGCTGGTGGGTTCAAACCATGTGACTTTGGGATTGCAGTGCAGTTTCTTACCCTCCAGAGCGCCCCCTGTTGTTCCCTCGGCCATCTCTCACCCCTGCCCCTGCTGCATCCTGGGACACAGACAATGAATGGGTAAGAGTAGAGGATGTAAGTTTCACACCTAGTTGACACTGAAGCTTATGGGCCTCATTTGGCCCTGTTACTACTTCCTGTCTGTCAGGCATTAAGAACCGCTGGCCTCACCTGAACCTCAGCTGGGTGGGCAGTTATCAGCCTCCCTAGTCCAAGCCTGTCCCAGATCTTCATCTCCAGTCCAGTCCTGACCCACTAGGGATGCATTCCCCAGGCTTGGTCTCTTACACTGTGGATCAGCTAGGGGTCCAGGGTCTCAGGCCATGCTCTGGCTCCCTGCCCTCTGTCACCCACTAACTTATCTCAAGACTTCAAAAAAGATCTTGATTCCTGCATCTAAACTAAGTGAATGACTCAAATTGCATCATCGCAGAGTAGCAGGCCTCCTTAGATGTCACTGGCTAGTCCAACAGCCATCTGAGATCTAAGCCTCCTAGTGGACCTTTACCCCAGCACTGTCCCCACAGTTCTCAGGTCCCAGCAAGGAGTCTCTAGCCTGCAGCTTCCCCATCTCCCAGGCTGGCTCCCTGGCAAACCTCACTGTTTGTTCTCACAAGGTCAAGAGTGCCCCCTGTCTGTTAGCCCGTGTCCTCTCTCACCCCTGCCCCTGTTGCATCCTGGGACTGGCCCTGCCTGGGGATGCCTGGTGGTTTTGGCAGTCCCTCCACAGTCTTTGCTCAGTGCTTCTGCATCCTGCCTGAGATGCAAAATTCTTTTGAGGAGAAATTCTGTGAGGTATTGGTCTTGTGCAGCTGATTCAGTTCTAACTTATAGGGGCCCTGGAGCATGACCCCATAGGGTGTGTGAGGCTGTAATCTCTACAGGACACATTGCTAGGTCTTATCTTCCATGCAGTAGCTGGTGTGTTCAAACTGCCAACCTTTCAATTAGCAGCCACACACTTAAAAATTGTACCCCCACGACAGACAAGGAAACTGAGGCCCAGTTTGGCAGTCTCCTCACACCACTTTTCCTTGGAGCCCTGTCTGAGGCAGGATGGGGCATCTTCCACCCTCACACGACCTTGCATCACTTCTCTTCCACTTTTCCCTGCCTCCAAAGCCAATTATATCTCAGTCCTTCAACTGAAGTTGTCACTAATTTGTATAGCATCTTCCCTGGTCCTCAGATGAACCCTCAAAAAACCTCAAGCTTAAAAAAAGCCCAAACAAACTCAAGCTCATTGCCATCAAGTCGGACCGACTCATAGCTGACCCTCTAGCAGGTTTCTGTGGCTGTAAGTTGCATGGGAGGAGATTGCCCATCTTTCTCCTGTGGATCTCCTGGTGGGTTTGCAGAATTAGAGTACAACGCCCTACAAGCTACACCACCAGAGCTCCCCAAATGAGCCCTAGCAGAGACTATTTTCTTACAGTGTTTTTCCAGGAATCACCCTTCAGTGATAACCCCCTTTCAATGCATTTACATAATGAATATCGTGCTTTTATGTCCCATGTCTCCTTTGAGCCTCCTGACAGCCAATTGACAGGAGGCAATACATAGACACTATACTGCATGTTCTCTCATGCAAGAAGGGAAGGAAGGCTCCCAACCCATTCGTTGACTGAGAAAACACTATGCAAGATTCTCCTGTTCCTGTATTTGGTGTCACAAGATGTGTCAGACTGCATTATATTGCAACGAAGACACGAAAGTACCCAACATATGCTTTGAAAATAGCTTTTATCTAAAATGTATCATGTGCTTACTAATTTATGTGGATTATCTCTTAATCCTCAGGGAAACCCTTTGATCTTTATTTTATAAAATGCTTGCCCCACAGTCACAAAGCTGTTGAGTGCTTTAGCAAGGTTTGAATTGAGTTAGTGTGGCCTGGCTGGGAGAGATACTGTCCCCTGAGCAGTTGCTGTGTGCTGTCAGACCAATCCCAACTCATAGCAGCCTCGTAAGCACAGAGCAGAACTGTTCCACAGGGTTTCCAGGTTTGTGACCTTACGAAGCAGATTTCCAGGCCTTTCTTCCCACGTGATACTTGGCTGGGTTTGAACCTCTAACCTTTTAGTTAGCATTTAAGCACTTAAATGTTTATGCTGGTGACTGGGAGGAGGTGGAAGCCCAGGATTCTCATCTATGCTCTGCCACTCACTCACTCCATCTCCAGTTCCATCTGAACCTCAGTCTGCACATCTATAAATGGAGAGGTTTGACCTAAGCAATTTGTCAGAGTGTTGACAGGCGTCGACAGAGTCTCCGAGATACCCCAGAGACCCAGGCTGTGGGGCCTAGGTAATTGCAGAGCCAGGGTCTTTGCAGAAAACTCACCCAGCACCAGAGCAGGCTGCCTGCCTCTGAGGATTAGAACAGGTGTGGAGGACAATACGCCAGAAATGGAAGCAGTGGAAAGGTCATGTGGACCAACTCCCTGTCTCGGTGCCAGGCTGTGCTTGGAATCTGAGCATCTAAATGAGAAGTGACTTCAGAAACAGCAGCCTGGCCAGCTCCTTCCTGGTGCCCAGGTCTGCTCTGCCCTGGCCCATGCCTCAGCTCAGAGTTTCCTGCTCCATCTATGTCCTCTCTGGATGAAGCCATGGAAAATAGTCTCTGACTGAACTAGATAGCCAGCCCTGACCCACAGCCCAGCTTACCCCATGGTGTCCACAGGCCTGGTCTTCTGAGCTGTGCTCTCCTTCTGGCCAGCTCCAGCCCAGACTCCATACCCCCAACACCCTGCTTTCTGTTCTGGATGCGCCCCAGCTTATCAGCATCCCTTGTAAAGTGTTCCACTGAGAAACGAAACTGGCCAAGGTGCACTCCGCTTTTCCAAGCCTGCTCCCTTGCCCACTCTTCCTTGATCCTATGACATCATGCCATCTCCCATGGGCTGCATTAACAGTACAGCTGAGCCACCTGTAGACTGGCCACACAGGACATGCCAGTCTGTAAGTCCAGCTGGACGCAGCCTGCCTCTCTGTGATCACAGCCTTTGCTGCATCCTGCTAAGATGCCAAGGGACATGGCCTGTTCTGGCAGAGCCCAGGCTGTCCCCACTGTTCCCTACTCCAGCAGCATTTGAAGATGCCAGTGACGAGACTAAGCATGCTCAGAGATACACCTCTGTGGTTGGTGTCACGGACCACTGTAAAAAGCCTGCGAGGTGCGTCCACGGAAATAAACCTAGGTGCTCCAAGCCTGAATTCCCAAGATGCTGGTGACATCCCTGCTTACTGGAAAGTGGGCTCCCCACTTGTCAGGCTCAAATGTTTTTAAGTAAAGATTCTAACTCATTGCTGCTGAGTTGGAACTGACTCAGAGCTGATCCTCTAGCAGATTTCCAAGACTATAAATCACATGGGAGGAGTTTGCCTGTCTTTTACCCTCAGAGTCATTGGCGAATTTGAATATATATATGAATATGTGTATGGATGTATTTGTGCATGTGTGTGTATATATATGTATATACAAATATACACATTCACACACTTTCTGCTGTGGAGACAGAACTGGCTCATAGCTGACCTTCCAGCAGGTTTTCAGAGTGTTAACTGCAGAGGCATCCATTTTTATATCTATCTATCTATCTATATCTATCTATCTATCTATCTATCTATCTATCTATCTATCTATCTATCTATCTATCATCTATCTAATTTTGATGAAAGTAGACCCACTCAGAAAAGTACCGTCTCAACCATTCCTGCAGGGGCAGTTCCTAGCCATCTGTTAGTTCTTCAAGTTTTGCTGTGGTTCTTGCTGTCTTTTTCCAGATCATTCCACCTCTAAGCTCATCTAACCTTTAGGCTGCTGTTGTCAATTTGATCTCACATGGATAATTCATGGAGTTCAATGCTCGAAGCAGATGCATGTGGCTAATTAAGATAAGTTGTTTCTTGGGTCAAAGACTACATGGGAGAGTTTTGGTTGAGGAAGTAAAGATTATTTCAGGGTAATAGTTCCAGGGATGCACCCAGCTTCAATGGCTCCAGCAAGTCTAGGCTCCGTTGAGAGTTTCAGTGTCTGTCAGGAATGGGTTATAGTGTCACCACTCGGTTCAATAGCTGTGGGGAAGTGGGAAGTGTTTTTGAGATCCAGATCAAAGGGCTACTGTGAGGCTCATAAGAAATGATTTGTTTACTACAGTGTCTGATGTGTGATAAAGTCCCAGTGAAGATTAGGCATTACGAAGGGCCACTGCCTCCTGTTGGCTGTGGTCAGCAAACTCAGACGAGATAATGGGCATTTGGCTCTCAGCCTTGGCTTCCCCATCTCTAAAATGGAGCAAAAAGTGTGCTTAGTTCAGGTTTCTCTGATGGTTTGGTAATTTATGTGTGACAAGCCCCTCGGACAGAGACTTGATGTAGTCAGTGCTGTGTAAGCGTTAATTGTTACCCATTCAACAGAGGACAAGTCCTCCACCCAGTGAATGGAGTCGCCCTGCCAAGCAGACAGCCGTGGGAGACCGTGTTTGAGATTGAAGAAGACATTTTTAAAAAGTAAAGCTGGGCGTGCCTTCCAGCTGGGTTATGCCTTTAAAACATCATTTGCTGCTAACTAGCCTCATCAACTTACAAGAGTTGCTTCGCTGTTCATAGTGACACATCAAGATTAAATCATGGTTAATTTGCACTATTACAGTTCTTACAATCATAACATATTTTTGCATAATCTAGGATTGGAAATATAACTCAGAAAATAAGAAGAGTTAGTTCTATGTGCAAGAATTAGTTAAAATTGTTTTTCCTTTATTTTTTTTCCAAATTTTTTTTATACTCTCAAGGTCTCTAAATTGGGGAGATACAGCCCTTGCCTCCCAGAGTGGAGCCCCTCCCGAGACTCCATGGGACGACTGTGCCAGGGGCCTGTCTCCTCTCTGTGCACTCCCTCCTTGACCAGTGAGCACAGCTGGAAGCCACCACGGCTGGGACAGCGTGCTGTGCCAGCTGAACCGAGTTGACCCCTCTGGCAATTATTTCATGGACTTGGTTACTAATCAGCTCTCCCTTTTCTTCCTTCTCATGCCCTCCCCACCTAGGGGGACAGGGGTGACCCAGGGCCTGATGGTGAGCGTGGCGAGAAAGGCCAAGAAGGGCTGAAGGGTGAGGATGGGCCCCCAGGCCCCCCAGGCATCACTGGCATCCGGGTGAGTGTGCATGCATGTGTTCATTGTTGGAACTCCTACTTAAGAATCCTTTTGCTGTTTCAGGCAACCTGGGAGGGATGTTATGGCAGCGGCCACCAAACTGATCTCTTTTTCCACTGAGGAGTTTCTCAGAGTATCGATCCGATCAGGGTCCTCTGATGTTAGCTCTCCGTGACTCCTTGGTGCCTTCAGAACAAACGGCACTCTCCTTAGTCAGGCTTGTTCAGCCATGCACTGACTCACTTAGTCCACAAACACTCACGAGCATCTTCCAGGAACCAGGCCCCTGAGGTTGAAGTGGTGAATCCCTGGTCCTGAGGGTTGAAGGAACTTCTAGGGAAGGATTGGGACTGTGCCATGTGGGCCTAGCTCATGCCCAGTACACACCAGCCTGTTCTCTGTGTTATACTGACAGCTAGTGTCTGATGACTCAGAAATCAGAGAGGTCAAGGAGCTTGCTCAAACTAGCATGGTTAAAAAATGGCAGAGCTGGATTCGAACTCAGACCTGCCTGGTTTTCTACTCTTGTGAGGTTAAGTACCCATGGCTGGTTGGGAAGCTGAGAGGAGACTGGGAGGTAGGCAAAGGCCTGATTTTAGAGCTATTCCAGTGTTAGACTGTTGACTTGGGCCTTGGCTTAGTGGCCGGGCAGCCGTGTAGGTTTGCCCAGTTGAGCAGCCATGTGTGGACTGGAAGTAGTGCTTTCCCAGTGCTGGGCCCGTTCATCTGGACTGCGTGGGCCAGCGGATTGGGCAGCCATGCAGATAAGCCGCCCAGATGTGCAGGCCACACCTGATGCTCCATGTTTAGCAAATGAGGCCGTGAGCTCTCCAGGCTCTGCTGCCAGCACATTTTCCCTGGGTTGTGAATTTGACTCTTCCTCTCCGAATGGAGAGAATGAGGCTTTTCCCTGGGCACAGCAGCCCCAGTTCTCTTAGGCTTGCTCTCTCTAAGACTTCTCTTGCCTCCAGGAGTGTTGAAATGACTAGCCGAGGAGGGTCCAAATTTAGCCGGCAACAAACAGTGACTGTGGGAAAATCATATTTGTTTCCTAAAATAGAATCAAAGCGCTAATCCCTCTTAAACAGCTGCAGCCGAGTGAGCTCAGCAGAGGACTAGTGAGACTTCCCCTGGGCTTGCGGCAGCCGAGGGGAGAGGCGCTGGGGCTTCAGCAAGAGGGCCTCTGGCCTGATGCTCCATCAGTAACTTGCTGTTTGCCCTTTTGCTCACCTCTTGCCCTCTCTGGACCTCCCTCTCCTGTCATATGATAAAGGATTTGAAGGGAATGTGCTCTAAGATCTTTCTGAATTCCAAAGTTTTGGGGACACTGCTTTGGTGGGTTTTGTTTGTTTGTTTGTTTACAGTCATGACCATGGAATAGACCAGAAATAGCCTGGGACCCAGAGTCTGAAAGTTGCACCCTGGTTCTTGGATCAGACACACACTCTGTGTGACTTCCAGTGAATCCCTGTCCATCTCTGAGCCTTGGTTTTATCGTTTATAAAGAGTAAATGATGACACTTTGGGATGGAAAGTATAAAATGCACCAGCAATAGAACAGGCTGTCTAAATGAAGCCAGTGGAGGCAGCGATGGTGGTGGTGCTGAGAGTGATGACGGTGGAGGCAGGCGGGGATGGTGCAGGTGGTTTGACGTTGATGGAGTTGTGGTGGTGGGTTGTGGCGATGGTCGTGCTGGCTGTAGTGGTGGTCGTTGGCGGTAATAGCAGTATTGATGATGGTGTAGTGGCAGTGGAGATGGTGGTGATGACAGTGGTGGCAGTGGCTGGTGCTGTTGGTGACGGTGACGGTGGTAGGGCGGTGGTGACGGTGATGGTGGTAATGGTGGTGGTGGCTGAGGTAGTTAGTGGTGGTAGAGCCTGTGGCAGTGGTCCAGTGGTGACAGTGCAGTGATAGCAATGTTAAAGTCTGTATTGTGCTGTCACCTCCAATTCTCACAAGTCAGGAACGGAAAAGTTCCAGAGGGTCAGTCTGAATATGTGCTGGCCTCATGGAGGAGCTGAGGGCCAACCTCTCTTGTGTCTTCGGCATCAAGGCTGCAGGTCAAGCGTCTCCCACTCTGTCCTGGAAACAGTGGAGTACTTAAAAATAGAGTTCCAAGAGCCAGCAGAGCCTTTCCAAAAATGCGTGTACATGGATAGGGGCCCAGCCAAAGTCCTGATTTCTGCCCCAGGACCTCAGCCGGCTGGAGCTCCAGTTCTTCCTTCCTCAGGCTTTCCCACCGTGGGGAACGTCTCAGCTGGAGAACAAGCACCGCCCGCCCTGGGGGAGCCCCGTCTCCTTGGCCGTCCACCGAGTGCTTCAGTGATGACTCATTTCTCCTTCTCAGTAGGGATTCATCATCACAATCATTTCAATCCACCATCCGATTTCACCGGCCCCTCTACCATGGCATCGTTATTGCCAAACCAGGCCAGCCTGGGGCACAGGTCCGAATCTAAGGATCTGTGGCTCCTTTCTAAAGGGCTGGGTGACCCCAAGACAACACCTCTATATCCCTGAATCACTTAATGAGATTATAATCCCTTCCTCCCAACAATGTTTTGTGGTGGGTTTTTTTGGTATTTCTTTTAAATTTTTTTTTTTCAGTTTTATTGTATTATTTTTACATGTACCGTCAAATCAGATCTGACTGGTACAGGAGGAGATTGCCCCCTCCTTCTCCAGCAGAGCATCTGGTGGATTTGAACCGTGTACTTCTGGGGTTGCAGTACAGTGTCTTGCCACTAGGCCACCAGAGCTACCTTTAAATTTTATTTTATTAATTTTAATGAACATTTACAGAAATTTTGGATTTCCATTCATTCATTGTTGCACTTTTCTCCCTGCCCACCCCTCCCCACCAGTTCGCTCCTCTCTTTGAAAAGTAAAGGAAAAAATTCCTTCATGGATATACAACCGCCCCCTCCCCCAGTACACTCCACTATGCAACCTTAATTCTGGACTCCTGTGATAACCATAATACCCTATCATATATCGCTTTTAAACTGTTCTCTCTCTCATCTGTTTCAATGCAGTATACATAATTTATCCAGTTTTTCTCAGTCTTACCCCAACCCTGATGTCAGTCCCATTCTACAAAAGTGGCACTATGCAGTATTTGTCTTTTTGTGACTAAGATATTTCACTCAGCATAATGTCCTCCAGGGTTACCCATTTTAAATAATATTGCGTGAGTTCCTTGTTTTTCAATGCAGCATGTTGTGAGAATGGGATAAGCAGTATATGGGCACAGCAGTGTCTTGCTCATGGTTCAAGGTCATGAACATCAATATTTTATTTTGGAGAAGCAACAGACCTTAAGGTGGTCTAGTCTGAAACTTTTCAGTAGAAATTGAGTATGGCAAGAATTGAGGTCCTGGTGGAGCCGTGACGGGAAGAGCCTAGGAAGCGTCATACTGAACAAAAGCAGTCAGTCCCACAAGGGAAAACACTGCATGATCTAATGCTCGTGAAATAAACAAATATATAGAAAACCAAGATTATCAGTGGTTCCTGGGGGTGATAGTGTGCAGGAAGGAGGGCTTTTTCCTTAGGGTATGCTGAGGTTATGTTAATGGTGGCAGATCGTTTGGAAAAGGATAGACAGAATGGTCATACAATTTGAAGAAGAACATATCCAGTCTCACTGAATTATACATGTAGAAATTGTTGAGATGGTGTATGTTGGGTTAAGCATATTTTTATCATGGTAAAATAAAATATTAAAAGAGAAATGGAATATGGGTCACTTATAATTTCCTAGTAGCTATGTTTTTAAAAAGTAAAAAGAAACAGATGGAATTACTTTAACAACATACTTAATTCCATGGCACTTAACAACAACAACATAGAGAGAGCTCAGTTGGCCTAGTGGACAGAAAGTGATGTTACCAAGCCAAAGGTGGGTGACTTTAATCTGTGGCCCTCAGGACTGTTTTTGTTTTCGATCAAACATTCTTCTAGGTCTTATAGCGCTGGTCTGTCCACTTGCTGTACAGAGGTAACTTGTGGTTGCTGTGATGCTGAACACTGTGACACTGAAGTGTTAAATACAATAATGGTCACCAATGATGGACGGTGTTTGGTGGAGCTCCCCGATTAAAACAAGCTTAGAAGCAGGAGTGGCATTCACTTCTGAAAAAGCTTTCCTCTGGAAACTCTGTGAACCTGGAGAAACTATGAAAGTTTTAAAAGTGTTCAGGTCTTTCATTCATAGGGTTGCTATGAGTCGCCTACGACTCGACGACACTTAATAACAACAAAACATATCCAAAATATCAATATGCAGTAAATATTTTAAAATTCACTGAAATATTTTAAAGTGGTTTGGGTTTTTGGTTTGTTTGGTTGTGTTTTTGGTTTGTTTTTTTTTACTAAGTCTTTGATATTAATTCCGATACTAAATTTTCATTGAAAATATTTTATCTGTGTGGGGATTTTTAAATACATTTGAAAACAGCAAATTCATTTGTACAAGTTATTCTGAGCATACTTGAAGATTTTTCTGATGAATTGAGTATCTGTTTTCAATTTTAAATGAACAAATCCAGTTCTCCACCACGGTAGGCACATTTCAAGTACTCCATAGTGGGTGTCGTATTGGATCATCAAGGACTAGTTCTGGGACATTCTGGGCAGACGTGAGAAGCTGAAACCCAGAGAAGGGGAGGGATCTGTCTAGGGTCACATGAGAGACCAGGGACCAAATGCAGGACAGGCTGTGCCTGGGTCCTCCAGGACCAGCTCCCTCCTACTTGGTCCCTTTGGAACAGAGCCCTCCTTTCTAATACATCCTTCATTGTTGTATTTTTCCAACAGACTTTCTTGCTTGTGCTGAATCAAAGCCGCTGTCCTCAGTCCCAGTAATTTTCATCACTGGCCAGTCCAGAGTGTGTGGCTGCCCCTGCCTCGGGGCAGCTGCAGGGGTCCGCAGGAAGGGAAGCCCACGTGGCCAGGAGTTTCCTCGCTCCTCTTAGGACTGCCTCTCCTTGCTAGTCCATCACAAGTAGTCTGGGCCTCCTCTTAATGCACTACTCCCATTCCAAAATTGAACCTTCACCTCTTATTCTACAGCATAAACCTCTTAATTCAGCTGGAAGGACTGGAACAAACCCCTCTTTAATCTTTCCCATGAACAGAGAGGTTTTTCTCAGTTCCCTCTCAGCTATAAGTCCTCCAGGGGCTGTCAGAAAGTACCTTCGAGGCCAGAAAAGTTACTCTCTGCCCTTGATCTAAATCATAGTGGCCCTATGAATAGGTGGAAACATTCACTGTCCTCACTGTCTCTGCCACGTGTGAACCCATTGTTGCTATCCCAGCTCAAATCCAGCACCTTCCCTTTTCTCTTCCTATGCCTCCTCTTCTTCCACAGCCCTCCCTCTGTCTCTCTCACTCACCCCTGCACACGCATACACACTCCCCACGCACATTTACACTGTACACCAATGCCCACACGCATGCACTCACATTTCCTCACAGATACACACGCATGCGTACATGCACACTCACCATGCATACTCACACAGGCACCTGCACTTGCTCACACATGCACACACACACACACACACACACACACACACACACACTCTCTCTCTCCCTCGCCCTCTCCCTTTACCTCCCTCCCTCTCTTCCCTCTTTCTCATTTGCTAAGCATCCCTGACATGATGACAAAGCCCGCTCACCTCCAGGGTAAGATGAACTAATCAGTTTGAGGGTGCCCAGTGAAAAGAACCCTTTGGCTTTGAGTCAGTTCTGACTGATAGTGACTTTATAAACTGCCCCACAGTGCTTTCCAGGGTTTAATCTTCACACAAGTATACTGCCACGCCTTTGTCCTCAGAGTGGCTGGCAGATTCGTACTTGGGACCTTTCTGTTGGTTGAGTGCTTACCCTCTGCACCACAAAGGCTCTCCTTCCCTGCTGGATGAGGAAAGCAAGGAGAACTGTTGGAGGGAATAACCCAGGTGCCCCCAGCCCACCCCACCCACCCAGTGGGAAAACGGAGGGGTCACTAACTTTCCAACACAATGGCCCGCCCCATGAGTAGTCCCTCCGGACACAATCCTGGGTTGGGGGGCCTATCAGAACAGGGCAGCAGGAACTATGCAGAGGTTGGGATGAAATAGAAAATCTCTACCTGCCTCGGGATTCTGCTGCTGGGTCAGAGGTGAAAGGGCATCCCTCTCCCCGGACCTAAAATCAGCCTGCTCCCAGGTGACCCATGTCCCATCGTGACCCTGAGCAAGTTAGCTGCATCTACCTTGGCACGTAAACCTTCTCCATCGGTGGAAGAAGGGCTTCAGTGGGCTTAACCCATCGAGTCAGTAGGAGTAAATAGAGCTTAGCCCACAGGAGCTCAGCTTGGAGAACTTTCCATTAGGACAGCCCCAGCTCCCAAATCGCAATCATGACAGTAGTGGCAAAGGAGACACTGGACAGTGTTGCTTTGATTAGAATGTTGCTGTATTGAAGTTGAACCTTCCAGCTACATGAAAGCCAGTACTGCTGCTGTGCCCATCTCATGGATGAGGACACTGACGCCCGAGGAAGTGAGGTCACATGTGCCAGGTGCCACTGGTAATGAGTGGCAGAGTTAGCTTTGATCCAGGCTGGCTGCAGGAAGGGCGCCCTAACCTCTCTCACTTCTCCCCTGTCTCACGCTCTTTTCCTTCCCCTCCCTTCAGGGTCCTGAAGGAAAACCAGGCAGGCAAGGAGAGAAGGGCCGGACGGGAGCCAAGGTAGCCCCCCCCCGCCCTGTCCACCCCGTGCCCCACCTCCCCCCCCCATCCCTTGCTCCTGCTGGGGCTCCATGACCCCTTGTCTCTCCTGCTACAGGGTGCCAAGGGCTACCAAGGACAGCTGGGTGAGATGGGCACCCCTGGAGACCCCGGAACCCCTGGTACCTCCGGCCCTAAAGGGTCCCGGGGAAGTCTGGGACCAACGGTGAGGACCCTCTAGCTGGCATGGGAGTGAGAGGTCCATTATGGGGCAGGAGGTGTTGAGGGCAGAAAGCGGAGCCAGAATGTCAGAGGTGTGGGTTCTCTCTGGCCTGGTGTCCACATGCAGCTGCCTCTGTGGGCCATGGTCCCTCTGGGAACCTGCGGAAAGCTGCAGCTCCCTTCCTGGATAAGTGTGTTTCTTATTTCTTGTGATTTGTGGGGCTCTGTGGGTGCCCTCGGGAAGGAGCCCTGGTGGCGCAGTGTGTAAGGGCTCAGCTGCTGAGAAATTGGCTGTTCCCATGAGTCCCGTGGGAGCAGGTGTGGCAGTCTGCTCCCGTGGGGATAGCTTGGGAACTGTAGGGCAGTTCTGCGCTGTCCTGCTGGAGAAAGTAGGGGGTCAGCGAAGGGAGAAGACTCCCGCTGGGATGAATTCACACTGTGGCTGCACCAGTGGGCTTGAGCCTGTGGAGACTGCGTGGTGGAGCGTGGCGGTCGCTGTGAGCCCTAGTCAAGTCGTAGGCACCTAAAACAGTATGAGTCAAAATAGATTCAATAGCTGTGGAGTTGGGTTTTGGTTTATTGTGGGTCCCCTGAAGCCCTTGACAGACCCAACTGAACAGGTCCTGCTGTTGGGATGGGGAGGAGGGACTCGGGCCTCCCCGTTCCACTCATGAGTGCTATCGAATGATCTGTTGAGGACTTGTGAGTGGAGCTCTGCAGACCAGTGGGTGACTATGCGGGGCCCCAGGTCAATGCTGATGTTACAGCCCCGAAGGGGACAATCCCCTGACAGCTGCAGAGGCCCGAAGATTCACAGGGGACCATGGGGGTGAGGAGATGGTGCAGCACCTCTGGGCAGTAGTTAGTGTGCTGTGAGCCACCGCTCTGGCATGTGCTTTGCAGATTCCTGGGGTGCAAATGCTCAGTCTGGCTGATTCCAGGCTGCCTCATGGTGATGCTGAGCCCTGACTTGGCAGAGGTGCTGGGAAGCGCTCATTCCACGGCGTTTCCACAACACAGACTCCAGATGCAAATGCCCTCGGGAGCTTAGGCCAGTGTATTAAAGCAGTTGGGGACGTTGAGTCAGAGTCTGTGTCACCTTTGGTTTTGTTGTTGTTTGTGCCATTGAGATAGAACTGACCCATAGCTGACTATCCAGCAGGCTGTTAGAGGGTGTGATCCACACAGGAGGAGACTGGCCATCTTTCTCCCACGGAGCACCTGGTGGATTCAAACTGCGTACTTTGGGCTTGGCAGTGCAATTCCTTGCACCCAGGCTACCAGAGCTCCTTTTGTTTTTAGTATGTTCTTGTTGTGTACCATTGAGTCAGGACACTTCGGCGAGTTTTCAGAGGCTCTTAATCCCACGGGAGGAGATTGCCCATCTTTCTCCTGTGGAATAGCTGATGGGTTCGAACCACATGCCTTCGGGGTTTCTTACCACTCGGCAACCAGAGTTCCCTTGTGTTTAATGTTATTTAATTCTAAGTTCATGTAATCTAATTTTCATTAATAGCTCTGTTTTATAGCTGCTTATAACATTCCTGAACATTTAGCAATCAGCACTCATGACCAAGGGCTGGGATTTAAAAAGGGTGGTGTGGAGGAGGCCCCAGGGAGGAAAGGCCTTGGTTCTGGGAAGAGTGGTCTGGTGCCTACGGGTGAGAGGGTCAATGAGGGTCTCCTTTTCTCATAGGGTGCTCCTGGACGGATGGGGCCCCAAGGAGAACCAGGACTGGCTGGTTATGACGTAAGATGATGCTGTTTTAAGGAAATCTCCCCTCCCCCTGCCTCGGGAACTACCCTTCAGGCCTCTGCCCCACCACCTCTCAGCTGAGGGTCAGGGCTGGGGCCACTGAAGATGGCAGTGATGCCCACCTGGAGAGCACCTGGGCCCATAGATGGGGAGTAGACCACTGGCGGGACAGGTGGGGGAGCTAATAAGGGAGCAGACATCCCCGTCCTCACTGGGCATTCCTTTCCATGGTGCCTCACAAGCCGTATCTATGGAAGGAGGAGCCTCGGCCCATTTGAGGTGACTGCACCAGAGTCACTTAGATGTCTGGGAGAGAACAGGGCTCAGAGAGGCATGGTGGTTACCTCAATGGGAAGGTGAGACTCAGGGAGCTTAAAGCACTGGGGTTGTGGAGAGATTAAGTTCCCAGGAGCCCAAAAGAGAAACCTACGCCTGCAGCTCTGGCCACAGTGTGAGAAGTCCACAGGACAGGCATCGGCCCTGCCCAGAGGAGGTTGTTGCCTGGCCCTCGTGTAAAGTGGTCCCAGCTCTGTGTCAAGATGAGGCAGACAGAGACTCACCGTCTAAGCTGGTACATCCCCTAGTGGGACGCCTGAGCCAACTCCACGTGCATGCCTGGGAGACCAGGACTCAGAGAGGCACAGGGCCTGCTCAGAGACACACAGCAGCTGGGGGCAGAGCTGGGGCCAGCCTCACAGCCTCATGTCTTCATCTCCAAGCTTCCCTGCCTTCGGCCCTCTTGAGTCCTCAAACTAATTCACTCACCTGTCACCATCTTGTTTTCTACAGGGACACAAAGGCATTGTGGGACCCCTTGGACCTGCTGGACCAAAAGGTTTAAAGGTGGGTGTTGGTCTTGGGAAGCAGCCTTTCCCCTATATCCGTGGCTATACTCGGCTCCAGGGGAGTTAAAGCTCTCACCGGGCTCACACCGTGACTGCCAAGGAGGCAATTTCAAGGCCAGTGTCAGCCCTGCTCTGCCCACAGGCTAGACCAAGAATCCACATATGCGATGAGTGTGGTCTCTTGTGGCCCTAGTGGGCAAAAACCAAACACAATTCCTGCCCTCGTAGACCTTCCCATTGGGCAGGGGGCATAGATACCAGTCACATGACCGTGATACCATCAGCTGACTTTGACTTGTGCAGCCCCATGTGTCAATGACCCCCCCCAATGGCTTTCCAGTGGCTGAGTTTTTAGGGAGCAGATTGCGAGGCTTGTACTTGAACCCCTAACCCTTTGATCAGGGGCTCCTATATAATGAGTAGGATCGTATGAGTCATCACCACAACCACATGGGGCCTGAAGCCTTGCATGTTAATGAGATCAACAAGAGCAAGGAGAGAACGCTGTGCAGGATGGGGAAGGAGCAGTAGGAAGAGGAGGAGCCACCGACAGGGGAAGGCATGTCCATCCCGACCCCATCGCTCCAGATTGAGGAGAGAAGAGAGATTGCTGGAGGAAGCTCACTGATCATTAGGCACTGACCCATTGTGCAGATGGGAACACTTGAGGGTCAGGTAGGTCATCAGCCCTGGCAGTGCCTGAGAGACCCCAGAATCCAAGCCTCTTCTTAGTCCTAGTTAGCATCTCTCCTCCCTCCAGTTATTCAGCTGGAATGCCTGCCTTCAGGCCCTGCCCCCTGCCCCGTCTCCCCAGCCTTCCTTGCTTTTGCTGTGTCAGCTCGCCACTAACTAAATCCCGCTGTCATGAATCATCCTGGCCTGGCGTGCTGTGCAGATGGCCTCTCCTTACTGCTTGCAGAAGAGTAGAGCTTTGATCAGAGTGAGAAGTCTGCAGGACAGAACCCACAGGAAGCTGAGAAAGGGACCCTGAGGCCCTCCTCAACCCTCACAGTTCATCCTGGCTGCCATGGAAGGGGTTTCCATAGTTCCTGAAGTGATGGGAAACCAGGAAGCCCCTAAATCGCTCTGGGCTGTCTGCAGTCCCGGAAGCAATCCACATGGCTGCTGAGAACGAGATCCTAACACCAGCTCTGCTCCAAGTGGACCAGGGCCCTGGATGTTTCCTTGGGATTCCCTGAACCTTGATGGCTTCATCTGTGAAGTGGGTGTGTGAGGCTAAGAAAGACCTCAAGTATGTGTCAGACTCAGGGCCCTGGCCGCTGCTCCCACAGAGGCATGCTCTGCTTGAAAACAGTAACACAAATGAGTAGCCAGATAGACGGTAGAAGGTGCTGGAAACAGGGAGAAATGCAGTGACCACATGTAAAGTTCCTTTCCTAAGTTTTCTCCAGGCACAAAGCACCAGTGTCTCATATGACAATGGGGAAACTGAATCTCCAGGGTCAGTGATGAGAGGAGGCAGATGTAGCTTACAGACCTTGGGCTGTGTGTTTCTGAGCTCTGCTCCCCAGACAGAAACAGACCCTAGATGAGCCAGTGCCCCGTTCAACTTGAAAATCCCCAGTGGAGCGTGTGTCTGCAAGACCAGTGGTCAGTGAGATTAGGAGATGGGGTGAGATTAGAAAGAGGAAAGGGGTAGAGGGTGAGGCGGAAGACAAAACTCCACTAACTTTCTGTTGCTAAAAGAAAAAAAAATATTGCATCCTCACACAAGAGCCATCTGATCAGCCATAATGCCTCAAGCAAGAGGAGCTGGCTAACTGCTGCCTTTTGGCCCAGGTTATTCCTTGTTTCCAGTGTTGACACTGGCCCTTACTTCCCTGGCTCTCAGTTTCATTATCTGTAAAATGGGGACAGCAGTCCTCAGAGATTAATGTTGCTGTAACCACTTTGTGAAACAATATATGAAGCATACCTTAGGAAGTCCTGTCACATAGAGCACTCTAGGTAAACGTGGGCCGTTCTGCTAAGCGCAGAGCCCAGCTTCCTCCCTCCACACCAGAACCCAGTGCTGGGACAAGACTAGAACAAAGGGCCCTAGACGGCCAGCCCTGACCAGGCAGAGAGGGAATCCCCGCTCCCTGGGCCACCCCTCTGGGTACAAATGGTTCCAGGCTCTGGGCCCAGGCCCGCCCGCCTACAGCATCTGCCCACAGGAGCCACAGAGGCCCAGGGCCAAGGCCTGTAGCCGCCAGCAGCCTGACTCACCACGGGATGTGCTCCAGCCTGGGAACATGCTCCAGTCCGGGGTGTGCTCCCCTTTCTCAGGCCTCCCCCTCGATCTCAGCAGATAAGGAGGCTCAGGGTGCCCAGGTTTGAGCCCCAGCCTAGAGTGGGTCACCAGGGAAGGTGAGCCCTGAGATTCTGCCGTTTGGAGTTCTGCTTACATCTTCCTCCTAGCTGGTGTGGTGTCCAGTGGCGGTGACAGGAGCTCAGCTCTGTGCTCTGCTCTGCCATCAGCCGGTCCCCTTTCCATGTACCACCTGGTCGTTCTGTTGTCACCAATGGTCATTTTAGCAGCTCAGCCTCTGGTTCTCTGGGAGAATTCTCAGCTTCCATGTGTAGCAAACCCAAGTTCAATACTGAGCACTGGACAGAGCAGAGCAAGTTGTGCCCCTCCCATCTGTTCCTCAGTGTCATATCGTTGTTGTTGTTGTTAGGTGCTGTCAAGTCACGTCAGTTCATGGCAACCCTGAACAGCCGATCTGAACACTGTCCTATCCCGTGCCGACTCACAGTCTCTGACACACTCAAGCCCATTGCCGCAGTCACCGTGTTGACCCACTTAGCTGAGGGTCTTCCTCTCCTTTGCTGGCCTTCCCAAGCATGATGTCCCTCTCCAGGGAATAACCTCTCCCAGCAGCATGTCCACAGTATATGAGATGAAGCTTCATCCTAGCCTTCAAGGAGCATTCTGGCTGCTCTTTCTCCAAGACATACCTGTTTGTTCTTTTTGCTATCCATGGGATGCTCAGTACTCTTCTCCAGCACCACAGCTCAAAGGCATCAATTCATCTGTCATCTTCAGTCATTGTCCAACTCTTGAATGCATAGCAAGTGACTGAAAAGACCATAGCCTGAATCAGGCGCACCTTACTGTATCTGTACAGTGAGAATAATAATAATAAATAACAACATCATCTAATTCGTTAGGGTGCTCTAACCAGTAAATTCTACCAGGGTCCCTGTGTCATTTCCTGGGGTACTCATGTATCCTCATGGACATCACTCATTAGTCTCCCACCTCCATCCTGTAGCCGAAAAGGGCTCAGCAGTGGGGGTGACCTGATAGAGGCTCGTATCGGGTGGGGCGTGCACAGTGTCTCCAGGCCTGCCCCTCTGTGACCCTAAGGGGCTGGACCTCGTCTCTGATGATGGCACATGGGCATCAGTGCGGCTGGAATTCCTGCCATGCCCCAGGAGTGGAGGCTTGTCCTAACGTTGCTTCTGTGCCCACAGGGGGAGCAGGGTGACGATGGCAAGGCCGAGGGGCCTCCTGGGCCCCCTGGAGACCGGGTAAGTGCTCCCCCCACCCCCAACTTGTATCCCCTGGACCTGATCCCAGGTGGACCCAGAACCACACACTGTGTGGGCTTGGGAGAACGAGCCGGACCCAGAGCTGCTTCAAGCTCCACAGCAGAGGAAGCCCGAGCCCACCCAGCCCTGCTCCTGGTGACATGCTTCACTCTTGTCCTTGTTATTCAGGGCCCCGTGGGTGATCGAGGAGACCGCGGGGAACCGGGGGACCCTGGATACCCAGTAAGTATCACAGCTCCGAGGTGTCAGCAGAACAGGGCGTGACAGAGAGGTGGTTCCGGCCCGAGCCTGGGATTAGGGCAGGCCTTACAGGGAGGCAGGGAGCTCTGGTGGTCTAGTCTGTAGAGGGTCAGTCACCCTGTTAATTGAAAGGCCGTGAAGCTTTGAGGGAGAAAGACAGAACCTTCTTCCCCTGTTGGCTTTACAACCTCAGCTCTACCGCTGGAGCCGTGTCCTCCTTCTGCCATCAGTGCACAGGCTGGAAACAGAAGTCCTCCCCCAGAAAGAGGGCTTGGGGCTGACATTCAGACAATCTGTGCCTGGTGCCTACTGATGGTTTCCTCTTAGCCTGGTTCTCTTGGAGGGCCTCAGTCTCCCCACCTGGCAGACAAGACAAGACACTGATGGAACGGCAGGCCTCTGGCAGGCTCATTCCCTCCTCTCTGCTTCATTTATGCTTATTCTGCAAGGTGGCATCTTCACTGCACCCATTTTGCAGATGAGAAAGCTGAGTCTCAGTGAGGGAAAGTGACACTTGGCTAGGAAGAGCAGGATTCTCTTGGGATCTTTCTCTGGATTGGTAGTTGATCCTCCACACTGGAAGTTGACCCAGTCCCTCCAAGATGGGACCCCTCACCCATCTGTCTTTGGCTTCCAGGGACAAGAGGGTGTACAAGGCATCCGTGGAAGGCCAGGCCAGCAGGGCCGCCCCGTGAGTGGTACTTCCTACCCTAACCCCTCTTGCCCTGAGGGTGGTGGATGGGGGACTTAAAGAACCTAGTCCTTTAAAGCTTAAAGGGGTTCTCCCTATAGTAGGGCCTAGGCAGTCCACCTTGGTGTCTACTGCCCTGGTTCTGGGGCCACTCCCCACCCCGACCTGCATCCCCACATCCCTCCCCAACCTCCCCCTCCAGGCGGAGACTGGCCACCCTCCCCGGGAGAGAGTCCTGGGGCCACCTTGTGTCATCTCACCTTGGTTTTCAGGGGCATCCTGGACCCCGGGGCCGGCCGGGACCCAAAGGATCAAAAGGCGAGGAGGTAAGAGGGCTGATTATTCACAAGGGGAGGGGAAAAGACGGGTCCAAGGTCAGAGGCCAGGCTGGAGGGAGAGAGAGAGCCCCACAGGGAAGGATGACCCACCATGAGCCTGACAGGAGACAGCGGAGATACTCGTGGTGGGGCCCTGAAGGGTGGAGGGGGCACCACCAACACCTGTACCTGTTCCTGAGAGTCAGACAGGCTGGCTTTCTGTGGGCTTGGGCTCAGACTAGGAAGTTGGGCTGGGGGGTGCTCCTGGGGACATCTGGACCTCCAGCAGAGGTAGTGACACATCTGGCGGCCCCCTCAGATGCTGAGGTCCAGGAGCAGGCGTCACCCGGGGCCCCGATCTCTCAGCATCCCTCAGAGCCCTAGGTGCTGCATCTCCTTCAGGCAGCGCCCCTCATATTCTTCTTCATTTCAGGGACCAAAGGGAAAGCAAGGCAAGACCGGGGCGCCAGGCAGGAGGGGAACCCAGGTGAGTGGGCTGCAAGAGGCCTCCCCTACCCGCCTCCCTCCCCTCCTAAAAGCCCTTACCAGCTTCTTCTGCACCCCCCAGGGCCTGCAGGGGCTGCCTGGACCCCGGGGCGTGGTGGGGAGACAGGGCCCTGAGGGCGTCGCTGGACCAGACGGGCTCCCTGGCCGGGATGGCCCAGCAGGCCAGCAGGTGAGCAGGACTTTGGTCAGCAGGCGGCAATTCCACCTGACGCTGTGGGCCATGGGCCCGGAAGGAGTGCACTCATGCTTGGTTGACCTAGAACTAATATGCCCCACTGTTTCCCCAGAAGCTGCCTCAACCTTTGGGACCAGAGAAAGTGAACCCTTCTGACCCTCTTCTCAAACTCCCCCAGCACGGAACCCTTCTGACCCTCTCCTCAACCACCCCCCAGCCCGGAACCCTTCTGACCCTCTCTGCAAACTCCCCCAGCCCAGAACCCTTCTGACCCTCTCCTCAACCCCCACACCCCAGCCTGGAACCCTTCTGACCCTCTCCTCAA